GCGGTGGAAAGGCGCGGTGAGGAAACCTGAACAAACATAGTAGCCAGTTGCTTTACTGGAGTAACACTAATTCAGTTTCTTAGCGCTGAAAGTTGCATTTTAAACAGAGTTTTGAAAAAAAAATTTGTTTACTTTCTTTGAAAGAGATAATAAATTCTGTGGTTTAAGTGATTCATTACAAAATTTATTTCCATTTGTATTATATTGCATTTCAATAATTATTCCTTTACCTTAATAAATCTGTACATGCATTTTGTATCTAGGTGGTTTACAATACCAAGCACTGTATTTCTCCCTTAAACGGTGGAATATTTGTAATGATTGTTTCTTTTTTATAGTATTTTGAACGTCTAAATGACCTAGTAGCAGCACCAGCACCAATTCCACCTCTGCTTGTATCAGGAGGACCAGGCTCTGGGAAATCTCTCCTTCTGTCAAAATGGTAATTAACACTTTTTCTTTTTTTTTTGGATGAATGAAATTTAAGAAAAAAGTTTCCATTACATTTTGAATGTCATATCACTTTAAATAGAGGTAAAATGGGGGCATTTACAAAGCACTGATGTTATTGAAGCATCCTGGAAAGATTTGTCATAATTGAGTAGCTAATTCCACCTGAACTGCCTTAAACATCTCCCTGACTCCAATTGCAACGCCCTACAGATCTGTCTTTGCACAGCATTAATAAGTGGTTTCAGTAGCTCAATAGTGTTGCCCTTCTCTGATACACAAGAGAGGTCCTTTGGAGTCTGTTTATCTGAAATAAAAGAAAGATCAGACCTAGTAATTTATCATAGAAATACATTTTATGGTCACTTGTAGGCTATGACGAAATTTGCTGACATAAAAATTAATTGATAATGTCATTACTTCTTAAAAGCTTAGTGACATGTGACTATCCAGTGCCAGGAAGGACACTTGTAAATGGCTATCAGTACTGGGGAGAGCAAAAACGGAATCTGACATAAAAAGTTCAATTATAGCTCAGGAGATGTCTGTCCTATTTTGTAAGATAATCATGGAACACCTTTAGCTCAGACACTATCTCCTTTGGCCAAACTTGATGTTTTTTATTGGAGAGATATTTGCAAAATATAGTCTGTTAAGTGCTGCTTTTTTTTTTTTTTCCTTGTCTCGTTAGGATTCAGTTGCAACAGAAGCATTCGCCAAACACTCTCATTCTTTATCACTTTGTTGGGAGGCCCATGTCTACTAGTTCAGAATCTGCACTGATAATTAAACGCCTTACTTTAAAGGTATGCTGTATTATTACATACACTGCATTGTGCAATTCTTTGGAAAGTGCCTCTGTGTGTGTGTATGTCAAAAGATAAAATTTTCTACAGGTTTTTCAACATCAATTCAGAGTAATACAAATGTAGGACATTATGGAATGGAGGAAATCTGATCCTATACATTGAAGGCGGATCAATTAAATAGCATCTCTGAGATATTCATAATAGATTGGCAGTTGTGCTTCCAGTGACCTATATTGATGGCTTATAAAACTATATAAGCTTCTTCCAAAATTTCCTGCCATCTGGCCAATGAGAGGCAGGTGGTACCTCTTCTATCTCTGTGTTTAGGAACCTGAGGCTGTAATCACCGATTGGCACCATATTGTTCCTAGACTAGTCTCTCTCCTATGTTAATTTTTTTTAAATTGTGTGTTAGATATGTGGGGAATAAGCGAGCAGTATTTTTGTACCAGGGCCTGAGCTTTATTTTTCCTTTACAGGGTGGAACTAAGGACCTCACAGGACTAAAACCTTTAGAAAAATGAAATCAATTGTGTTCTCCTTGCAGATTTCTCGTGTAATTTAGAAGTCTGCCTATTTAACTTCTGCAACTTCTAAGCCATTGAAGTCTCTGCATTCCTTGTCCGCTGTGTAAACTCAGATTATCTCTCTAGAATTTACCTGAGTTCAATAAATACTTTTGTTCTGCATATGCCAACTCTCTGCGTATATTAGAAGGAAAGAATTCTATGTGAACTTGACTAGAAAATCATGTGGGTGTGCTTTGGTTTTTGTTTGGGTTCCCGTTCCGCCCCCCCTGCTTTGTGTCTATAGGACTTCTTTCAACTATCCAAGTTGATTTTTAAGGTAGAATTTGTTATATATGTTTATATTTCTGCAGCTTATGCAGCACTCTTGGTTAGTGTCACCTCTGACTTTGGATCCAGCTAAACTTCTGGAAGAGTTTCCCCGCTGGCTGGAAAAACTTTCTGCACGTCATCAAGGCAGCATTATTATAATTATTGATTCTATTGACCAAATACAGGTATGTTTTCCAAATACTTGCCATTTGTCAGTCTAAAGGAAACGTTGACTATTGCAATAGGTACAGTTATATCTATGTAACAGAAATATTAATGTTTGCTTTGCTCTAAAGAGCACATACAGAAAATGGTTTTGCATAAAGTGCAGATGAGTTAAAATAGACTTTCAATTTTTATAGATAAATTTTGTGTTGGGTTGGGGTTTTTTTTCTTCTAAATTTATCTTCACACCTTAATTTTTGAGCAATCCAGTTACATTATTTGTCCAAAGATTCAAGGCTGTGACGTGACCTGTTAGGCACGTAAATAGCCTACCCTTTGAGGTGGACACCTTAACAGTTGTATGTATTCTGTCTGCTTTATTTAATGTACAGTCATGCTGATACATGGCAATGAATCATTTAGTACTGTTTCAAGAAGCAGATCACGAGCAATTTTTAACAACACTGAAGGATTTAAAACTCCTTTCACTGAGCTGTACAGTTAATGAAATGTGTCAACTTCTGGCATTGTTTTGAACAACCTTTGTATTAAGTAGCCAAAATTTGTTTTTAAGCAAGCTGAGAAGCACATGAAGTGGCTGATAGATCCACTGCCAGTGAATGTGAGAGTGATTGTGTCAGTGAATGTAGAAACATGTCCGCAGGCTTGGAGGTATGTTATATTTCTGAGATGTTTCAAAGTAGCCTGGGTGAGAATTACTGTTTTAAATTACAGTTACTCGTTGCAGAGCAAACAGCGAGATTTGTCGAGACCTGGGGATATAGTAGGATAAGGATTTGTAACCATTGAGGATAGTGAAAGCTTCTGTATTGTAACTGAAATGAGGGCAGGTTTTAGCTGTTGGGAAATCAGATTTTTGTTTTACTGTGATGGATCTATCCATGTCACTATATGAGAGAGGATATTAAATGAAGTCAGGTGCGCATCAAGAACCGCAATTCCATGATGAAGATCCAGGATAAGGCTAAAAGTGGAAATTTGACTTGTGGTGACTAGAGTTTCTTAGTAGCAGGGAATAGCTTCAATTATTGCTTTGATATAAATCTTTAAAAAGCTCTAGAACTTTGATGTCTTCCCCCCGCCCCCCCCTTTTGTGTGCTCTTTAATAAGGTCTGAATATGACTTTGTTCTCTTACCAAAGGTTGTGGCCCACTCTTCATCTTGATCCACTGAATTCCAAAGATGTTAAATCTCTCATTAGTGTAGAGTGTAACTCTGCAAATGTTAAATTGACTAAAGAGCAGGTATGTCTGTTGCAGTTCTTCTGAAGTACCTTACTCTAGTATAACTTTTAATGAAGGCACGGAAAGATGAAATAAGCCCAGCTGCCAAAAGAAAGCATTATACTTAGCTAACTAAATACCACTGCTCAAGATAGCATGCAGTTTGAGTATTTTTACCCCATGGCTCATAGCACTGAAACACAGATGGAACAGCATAAATTATTAACACAAAACCAGTGCAGTTGCACATATTGCTATAAACAGGTTCTTTTAATTTAGAATAATAGAAGATTTAGTTTTGCATAATACTGTAACAATGATTGGTAGAGTGAGGAAAAGAGTATTTTACCTCTTTGCCTTGGAAACCTATTCTGTGAGGCAATCCTCATCTTGAAAGATGTAATGGTTAGATCTTAACTCTTCTCATCTTAAATTCAAAAGGAAACTTTCACTCGTGTTCTCCTGTAGCTAGAAAAACATGCAGTATTTTGTGCGCTAGTTATCATGTCATGGGCTTCAGATGTTACAGATAGAAGCATATCTAGAACTTCTATTTTCTTGTCAAACAGTAAATGTTTTATTGGTATGGTTAATTTCATCTTGGCTCACGGATTTTGTTTAAAATGCTGTAGGAGAAGAAGCTTGAGAGACATTGTCGTTCCGCCACAACTTGCAATGCTTTGTATGTCACTCTCTTGGGCAAAACCATTGCTTGGTAAGTTGACATGATCTTGAAATTATTATGCTCATCACTTGATTGGAAGACTTCAAGTAGGTTTGTTAGCATTTTGAAATACACTCATTAAACACAGAATGAATCCTGTTAAGAAAAAACAGTGGAGCAGTATACAGAATTTTCCCCCTTCACTGACTATGAACACAATAGGAATAAAAATCAGAGAGTATACAACTGCCATTTTGATACTAACTGAGTCCAAATAGTTGCATCTATCTGTTTTCAGCTGTTCCATTTTTATTTTAGTTTTCTGTTGTTCTGCTTTCTGGGTATATCGGTTTCTTCGATGCTTTTTAAAGGTAATTGGAGAATGTTGGTATTGTTTTGTTAAACAGTTTAATTCAGATCTGTTGTATTTACTGACGTACCAGATAGTTTGCCTCAGATTTTTAAGGCTAAAAGAAAGTTTAGCAATGGTTTAGTTTAACATCCTGCATGTGGTACTTTGCCCTATAATTCCTGCTTTTTTTTTAATTAATCTTCCCTCTTGTGCAAAAGAATACTTAAGTGCATTGGCTTATGATTAACCTAGACTCCATCTTGTTGAGAAAGACACATTTTTAGTTTAGAGACTCCCAGAAGATGATACACTGACTGATAATTTACTCTGGGTGACTGATTTTCATTATTTTTTGTTTCTGTTTTATGTCCTAGAATGCTTAATTACTCCTGAAAACGTGCTTTGTAAATGCATTAAATGAAACAGCAGCATGTGGTTTTTATCCTTGTCCAGCCTGATGTTCTTATTTTGTACTGCTGGAGGAAAGAACGCTGCAATGTACTAATTTTGTTTTTTTTTTTTTTAAATAAAAATGTTGCAGTTATTTAGAAAGATCAGACAATATGGCAGAAGGTGGCTTCAGGAATTTACCTCTTCTGTGTTTGATCTCACCAGGTGCTGTGCACCTTTTAAACTCAGTAGGAATTCAGAGCATTTTTGAGATGGAGCTCTTCAGTAGTTTCAATTCATCTTACTCAGCCAAGTTTAATATGCCAAATCGTGCCATTTTGTCCTTCTGCTCAGTGTTGGAAATGCAGGAAATATCGATGAAACCCTTCAACAATGTTTCCAATGTCAAGACACAGTGTCACTGTACAGGCTTGTTCTGAGATCAATTCAAGAATCATTGCAGAGTGATAAAGAGAAAGGTCTTTTGAGAGAGGTAAGCAGAGAATGTGTCACTATTTCTGTAGGTAATGTATATTCTTTCCTGTAAAGAGTTTTTCTTAAGTTAAAAGTAAATATAAATTTATATTGATTCATATATATGGTTCAGATTACTGTATTAGTATAGAAGGGACAATTTTATTAATCTAGTTATATCTGTTGTGTCTATAGAACATATGACTGCTTTGTGTTAAATTTCAACTAAGTCATTGTCTCACAAAACAAACAGCTTTTCTGCTATGATGTGATATAAAATTAGCACTTCCTTGCTGATCGCTCCCCTGATCCAATGATTAACTACACTGAGCATAGTAAATGTAATCAAAACATGGTAGCTTGTGAATACAGGCCAGCACTTCTTAGGCTTCTGATTCTTCTTCCTGGCTTTGCAGAATTTCCCTGTTGTGTGGAACTTTTTTTTTGATTAGGATATGATACTCAATAATTGCTAGAAGTTCTTTGGTGCTGGCAGCATAAGACCTTCAGTGTATTTTACTCAGATGGGAGTTTCTTATGATAATGGAGTTATTTTCCCCCAGTGTTTTAGAAAAAAGTCTAAGGAGCCGTTTCTTTGTCTTGGAGTGTCCTGTTTGGTGCTTTATCTATCAGAATATTAATCCATTAGCACTGAGGACTGTTCTTTGAGGACAGAAGAGAGAAAGGACTTGTGTAGAGAGGGTGTTTTTTTTTTTCCCTTGGCATATAGAGTTATACACAGTGATACACAGTATTTTTCTTGGCATTTCAGTGTAACTAAGCTCTGCAGCAAATATTACTAACTGTGTAAAATAATTTTTCTGTTTTATGTAGATACTGTGTATCATCAGTGTTAGCCACAACGGTGTGAGTGAGTCAGAGCTGATGGAACTTTATCCTGAACTGTCTTCTGCGGTATTAGCCTCGCTCGTTCACAGCCTGCACAAAATGTGTTTGCTGACATATGGCTGCGGTTTGCTGAAGTTCCAGCACCTCCAGGTAAACTTTGTAATTCTAAACATGTGCAAGTGAAACTCCACCCCCTAAGCCCTTGCTGGTTTTTAGGTAAGTTCTGTTAGCTCAGTAGGCTATGATATGTTTATGCTTGCTCATCCATTTTCCTTAACCTCGGGTCTGATGTTAGAATCGCCTTGAAAACTACTAGAGCTGTGTTACCAGTATGGGTCAGTATTGTTCAGCAGTTGAAAACTGTGCATTTCAAACCTTCAGAAATTTCTGATCTATTAGTTGTTAACTCCATCTCTCCTAGAAAACGCTGATTCCACAAAAAACAAACAGAACTGAAGGAAGAGGGAATATTATCTGAATAACAAAAGCTTTGGTCTAATAAAAGAACAATCTGTTTGTAGTGCCTTTGTCATAGAAAGACTCTTAGTTCTACGACATGAAATGTGTTTCATAAAGAAATCTTGCATAGTGCCTTGTGTGTCATCAGCACTTAATAAAGAAATTAAATGCATTCTCTTTCTCTCGATTATACTCTCTTTCAGGCTTGGGAGATGGTGAGACTAGAGTATATGAAAGAAGGTGAAAATGTTATTTCTGCGTACAGACAAAAGCTAGTGGAATATTTCACCATGCAGCTTAGGTAGGTTGGAATTCCTCAAGGTGTGCTAAATCGCAGGCTTTATGCCCCATGGATATTTTCGTTTTCTTCATGTAGCTTCTTTGAGTCAGTTTAGTAAATTATTATGGTAAAATAACTCTGCAAAACCCTAGTTGTCATTTTAGCAGTTTATTATTGATGTGTTGCTTTTTAATCTTGGAAAAGATCGAGGACTGTGGAGGGGAACAGGCATATAATAAAGTTACCAGGTGAAAAGCTAGGGCATGAATTCATACCGCAGAAGTTATTTTATGGTAACTGACCCCATGTGGGTTTTTAACTCCCAGTAAATGCTAGGAAATCTGAGGTTACTTGGAACTTGAAGAAGCAGCAGCAGACCACTTGCCTTCAACAAGCAATTAGCACATACACGAGAGGAGGTCCAGTAGAACAGCTGAACAGCTACAATTTCAGATCCAGCTTGAAAACTGATTTGCATTTACAGTCCTGAGTTAGTGTGTCCCAGCTGTGGGCTACTGCTTACTGCTCCTCAGAGCATCCACTGATGGGTAGCAGGAAGCCAAGAGGGCCACAGCGTGCCAGGCAGAGGAGGCACAAGGGGACAGTGGGGCGGGTGCGGGGCTGCCGTCCTGCTAGCAGGCACAGATTAGCCCCTATGGAAGGGAGGAACAGCTTCCTGTGGGGAACCTGGGGGGGGGTTCCAGCACCCTCTGAGGTGAAATTAAAGTGAAGATGTGAGAAAAGGGAGTACATAGGTCTTATAGTAGTCTGTCTGCTTAGACATTCAGGTACGGCAATTGTATGCTTGCCTAGTTTTCGCATCAAATTGACAAGTTCTGTTAGGCCTCTCAGAGATCTAATTTTGATTTGCTTTTCTTTCAATAGTCGAGACCGAGTGACTTGGAGGAGTGCAGATGAACTTCCTTGGCTCTTCCAACAACAGGGTGATAAGCAAAAGCTGCACAAGTGTCTTTTGAATCTCTTCGTGTCCCAAAACCTTTACAAAAGGTAACAAAGGTAGCCACTGCTTTGGTGGTTGTAAAAATTTCAAAGTAATTTTTTTTCAGTATAAATCGGAAAATGCCAGATACAGATTAAAGGAACTTAAATAACAGAGGCTGAATTTAAAGGAACTTAAATAATAGAGCTAAATGCTGTTGTCATATAAATCATCTGTTTTTTCTAATCTGTTACACCTGGGGGGTGGTAAAGGGCAAAAAACTGCTGTTGAACAGCATTAGTCTCCATGGATTGTCTCCGTAGACACTGTAGCGTAAAGACAACATTCATGCATATGGCCCTTTTCTTCTAAGCTAGCATCAGTCTGAATAGAGGGGTACCAGAGATAAGATGAGCTTCTTATTTCCTTGTTAAAACAGGGGACATTTTGCAGAATTGCTGAGTTACTGGCAGCTGGTTGGGAAAGATAAGAGCTCTATGGCAGCTGAGTATTTTGACTCTCTGAAAGAATATGAAAAAAGCTGTGAGGGAGAGGAAAGTATGGTCTGCCTGGCTGATCTTTATGAGACCCTGGGACGGTTTCTTAAGGACCTAGGTCTTCTCAGTCAGGTAAGTACATTTAGAGATTGTTGTAACAAACAGCAAGAAGGCAAATTTAAGCAGAGCTCAGCGTGCGCTTTCTGTTGCGGTTGTTAAATTCTTATTTATCCTGGCTACAGGATGCCGCCTGCTGCCATCAATATTCTGAACTTTGTTGTTGCAGGCTGTAGCTCCTCTGCAGCGGTCTCTGGAGATTCGAGAGACTGGGCTGGATCCAGACCACCCAAGGGTGGCACAGTCACTCCACCAGCTAGCAGGAGTTTATGTTCAGTGGAAGAAGTTTGGAAATGCTGAACAGTTGTATAAACAGGCACTGGAAATCTCTGAGAATGCTTACGGAGCTGAACATCCTCGGGTAGCTCGTGAACTTGATGCACTTGCGACCTTATACCAAAAGCAGAACAAGTAAGCTTAACTGCACTGGTATTTTTCTTTTTATATGGAGGTGGTACAAAAAAAACCAGCAAAAATTTTCTTCCTGAAGCCAGAATGTTTCTTTCGTTCTTTTTTAGAGTTTCATAAGTTCCAATGCAACCATGAGCATCCCCTCTGTATTCTTCTAGCAGGCCAGCCAGTAGGGGCCAACTTTTGTGCTTAGTTTAACAACAAACGTCTAGAGATAAAGGAGGAGCATTGTCTGGCCCTAAGCATTTTGGATATTTTTATCTTTGACAAAAAGTGTGATACTTTTTTTTCCCGAAGATTCTTAAATTCTCCTCGAATTTGTACAATCAAGTAACTTAGAAACTTTCCAGAATACTTATTGTTGCTACATTTGGCAATAATGTAGCAATCTTCTAATGCTATAAATAACTCTTTTCAGATATGAACAAGCTGAGCAACTGAGGAAGAAGTCCTTCAAAATACGCCAAAAAGCAGCAAGGCGGAAAGGCAGTCTGGTAAGGAAATATTTGATAATTCATAAAAGTGCAGGGCATGTTGCAGCTCTGCTAAATAGATGATAAAGTGTGTCTGCAGAACTGACAAAGCTCCAATGCTTTTGATAATTGAGGGCACAGGTAGCAAGGTAGCCTAGCAGCAGCTTTAATAACTGCCCTTTCAACTCTGCTGGAAGTGCAGATGCATCAGTACAACTCGTATGGAGCTGAGAGAGGTGGAAAAGAACTAAGTGGATATACATATTTCAGGATGCAGAATTACTGCCGATACAATTGGCTGTCAAAGTGACAACAGAAAAAGGAGCTTTCCAGAATAACCGAGGCGTTTATCCTGGAACTACTAGCGAGTGCAGTGCTTACTGCAGTGGATAATCCCAGTAATAGGTACCATACTGAGATTTTCCCTATTTTTTTCTTCTGTGTTTTTCAGCTACGGAGTTCCTCTAGTCCTTCTTGAGCTATGGGTTTGTTTTTCACGTAGTGCCTGTACTATAAAAGTTCAGCTAGTAACTCCAGAGCTCTAGTCGTAGCTTTAATGAAAGCAGTGAAAAGCCATAAAAATACTGCTATTTCCACAGTGCTTAAGTACAAATGAATTTGCATCATGAAGGTTTTGTCCATTTCTGTAATGAGTTCTGCTGCACAAATATTTTTATTAAGACTGCAAAGATGAAGAATAGGCAGAGTATGTAACAAGGGCAGTACTTTTACTTGTAATTTACTTAGTGCATAAGCATTAGCTTGACAGCCCGTTTTACAAAGATCCCTGTAAAGCCTTGAGTAATACTTTATATGTATTTGTATATGGCATTTAGGATAGGAGGTTAACTTGATTTTAAGTTTTGAGTTTATGAACCTGAGAATTTGATCTGAATTGGTTATTTGAACTGTGGAGTGTAAGGAAATTAGCATGTATGGTACAGGGAAAACAGAGCTGTATGACAGCACAGTAACTGAAATTTCCTGGAAGCATTTTTGGTGAAATTCATTGTTAGACTGTAAATAAGCAGAATACCTATGTGCCATCTAGCTTGAAAACAGAACTTAAGTAGGGTTATTATGCTCTCTTGGCACCAAACTGAGTCTTGATTGTCTGTCTTCAGTTGTACACCTTAAAAGTAATGGTGAGTGATTGGCTTACATTCCCTTGTGCTTTGCTGTAGTGTGGCTTTGCTCTCCTGCGTCAAAGAGCCCTGCAATTGGAAGAGCTCACGTTAGGCAAGGATACACCAGATAATGCTCGAACCCTCAATGAGCTTGGAGTCCTCTATTACCTGCAGAATAATCTTGAGTAAGTTGTATTAATTGTGACACATCCACTGAGTGTTAGATTTAAATGGGAGCAAAGCATTGAGAACTAGCATTAAATGTAGACACATGGTCAAATACTCATTATGCTGCCGTCCCTGATTCATGGTACTGTTTTTTGTTTACTGTGAAATTCACTCGTATTTTCTAGTGTCGATGCTGTTAGCATGTTAGTATTTACCAAGTCAGTGCATTTCCCGCATTCAGAATTGATGTTCCACAGTTAACTTTAACTAGCCGCCTTTGCAAATACCAGTTCCCTTGAAATTTATGCCTCCTCTACTCAGCTTCACTATTTTGTGACCTTCCTGTATAGTGTTCATCCTTGAGGAGCAGGATCGTCGTTTTTCTGTGAAAAACACTCAAAATGCCAGTATTACAAGAAATTATGAGTTAAATACCCGCTGTGCTTGTAGTCCTCCGGCTCTTACCCTGCTGGCCTTTTTAAGGGTGAAAGAGGACAAAGCAGCACAAAGGTGTTCTAAAAGCAGATAGAGATAAGCAGGGGTGTTAAAGAAAGGGAATAAAAGGTGCTGAAGAGTTCTGATTTGCATGGTTAGCTGCTCTTGACATCAGCTTCTTCAGTCCACAGAGCAGTCTAAAACTGTGTTTTGTGAGGGAATTGTAAAGTCACCTTAAATCCTGCTGTACTGAACTGAATCTCTTCAGAGAAGAAAAAGTGCAAAGCAAAAAAGCACAGAGTAAGTTCTGGAAGTATTTTTACGTTCTTCCTATATCTGATGTTTATGTCACCCGTAGTTGTTGGATAACTAGAGAAGTATATCGTAATTTAGGATCTACACGCAGAATCTCTGTTAAATGCAGGACCTTTACAGGGAAGGAATTGATTTTTAAGTTGTTGGAAATGTGGGGGTTTTCATCACTTTGGCCTGACTTCATGAGGGTAGTGACTGATTATAGAGGAGCAATATCTATCTAATCTCATACAAGATCATTTTATATTCCACATTATTCACATGTAGTTCCTGTCCAACCCAACCTACTTCCAGAGTAACCGTATCTCTACTATTTCATAGGTGAGCAAAAGTATAAACTTTGTTCTAGTGAAGGTTTAAGTTTTGGTTTTTTTTAAATGGATAGTGTGTCTCTGTTCTGGATCAGCAAGTCCAAGATTGAATTTTTTTGATCACATGGTGCAGTTAGAATGAAATCAATGGCAGAAGTGTATGTCACTTTATTAGTTGTTACATCACACATCGTCCTCTAGCCTTTGCATAGACTGAACACCTTTTGACACTTGTCTGAGAACTCCAGAACTGAACCTACATTTCTATGTATAAATGGTCTTTTTTTTTTCTCTAACGCGAAATGAATTTTTCCAATTTACTCAGCTGACCTCTTGGGAATAGCATCACACAGAATTTGTGTGTATGTCAGGATGACAAACTGCCTAGTTATAATGGATCCTGCCAGTATTATGTGGGGATCACCCATTGTTTGTGACAGAGGAGCTGCTGCAAATTTGTGATGGAATAGTAGTACGCTACTCTAGTGAGATAAAACACGTCCTTTTGATCGGGAGACACGTGAATGGTGGCAATACATGCAGTATTTTCTACTTTGTCACTTCTAGACAGATTTTACTATGAGAATCTAGCTCACAAAATAAATATAAAAACCCCATTCCCGTCTCTCCTCCTTTGGTGTGAAAGCCGTCTGTTGAGCCCTATAATAAGTTTTATATTCTTTAAAATTACTTGAAAAATATGTGGTGTGTTCTGAACCTTTACCTCATATTCCGCTATTGCTTTATCCATGGAAGTACTTGACTAGTACAGAGAGTTGCCCAGAAGTCAGTAGAATGTTTTGAATAAGGAAGGATTACTTGCATAACTGAAGTTGTAGGCTGAATTAAAGAAAAGAGCAGCTATGGGGTAGTGTAATGTTTGTTGAAATCTGCTAGGCTGGCTTTTCAGTCCTTAACAGGAGGGATCCAAGACTGCACAGGAATATATTAATTAGCTCTCTGTCTACATTCTTATGGTTAACCTGCACAGCAGGACTACGTCTGGGATGTATAGTTCCTCACTGCATAAATGAATTGCTTATACCGAGGCGATTGCTTATTCTGAGGAGAGTCCATTACTAGATGTCAGTGTCTGTACAGTTTCCAAGGCTGAGTTTGTTCTGTTTCAAACAGCTGCTTCAGCCTGAACAGATGTTACCAGCTTTAAAATATCGCTGAACAAATGTGTTCTGTAGGACAGCAGAGCTTTTCCTGAAACGCTCCTTGGAAATGAGAGAGAGGGTCCTGGGACCTGACCACCCAGACTGCGCGCAGTCTTTGAACAATCTGGCAGCCTTGTACAACGAGAAGAAGCACTACGACAAGGCAGAGGAACTCTATGAGAAAGCTTTAGACATCAGGAGGAGAGCACTGGCTCCAGATCATCCCTCCTTGGCCTATACTGTTAAACACCTGGCAGTGCTATACAAAAAGATGGTAAGCAGAAGCCTGTTACAGTTAATTTAGGTGATGAGAAAAGGTAATGCCTTGCATCGTTACCGTCTTCAATCCAAAAGAAGCGGGGCATGGGAATTTTGTCAGCTGTTGGTGTTCTACACACATGCATAAAAGATGTAGTCACGCAACCTCAGTCTATTTCCAAAAAGCCCAGTAGCTTTTTCGAAACACACTTTGCTTAAAGTAAAGCAATTTATGAATAATGTCTTCAGTGTCCTGCATGCTCAGGACCATGAAGAATTTCTGAGTTGGTCAAAAGGCTAGTGTTTTGGCTGCGGTGAGGGAAGCTCTTCCCAGCTGTATTTGAGGTCTCCACAGTCTGCTATGTGACATCCACATATAAGAGTTCAGTCAGGTGCGTCTTAATGGCAAAATCATGGTTTAGGGTGTAGGTGTAGGAATAGTTCTTTTTACACAATGACCTTGAACTTTACGGTCAAATTGAGAGTAACTTGAAGGCTCTTGAGGGAGATAGTACTTTACAACTAAACTGGCTGAGCCGCCTCCAGCTTATGTTGATTCAGTGAAAGACAGGAGTTACTCCCCTGCGAAAGGCACTACAGGGAATAACGTTAACAGTAGTATAAACTTCTGCATTTCATCATTTCAAAATGTTTTATTTGTGTTTGCAGATGGTTGTTCTAACCATTTGATATAATCAGTGTAAAAGTGATGTAAAGTTTCCAGCTGTTGAACCAAGATCAAATTCGGAGGATGACCAGAATTTTTTTTCTTTTGTATTTTCACATTTTGCCATTCTTCAAAGAGAAAAGAGTCCTTGAAGATAATCCCTTGAATCAAATGCTGCTATGTTTTTGCTCAATAATTGTTACCTGCTATTATGCACGTGAAATTGTTTTGGGTCACACATTCTCTGCTCACTTCAGCTTCTAATTTTCATGCTGCTAGAAACTGCAAAAGCACTCAATATTTGCATCAAAAAGCTCTTTGCTTGTTTGAAGGAGCACAAAATAAAATTCATGGTGAACTAGTGACGCAGGGAAGAGTGGAGGAAGAGAAGGGACAGGTATCAGATGTAGAAAATGAAAATTATTCATAAATAAGTATTTATTCCAGATTAATTACTGATCATCCTCAATCCGTGGCATGGTGATACTTTGAAAAAATAAGGAGAAAATTTGATTTCAGTTTTGCAATTACAGTGAACCATTATACAATGGACATTTGCAGTATTCAATTTCTACTTGCTATTGCATATAAGAATTCACATTCTATTATTGGAAGCCTAAGCATACTTCTGAAGTATATCCAGTTAATGTGTGAACAGATTCAAATTTGGAAGAGAACAGATGTGCTGGAAAAATAATCTATAGTAAAACTAGTTGGAATATGAGAGGGGTGTTTTAGAGAAACCAAAGTCAAGAAGCCAAAGCCTCAGTATGGTGAAAGGGAAGCAACAGGTACTTGAAATGGCATTGGGCACTGCGGCTCTTTCAAAGAAGACGGTGCGAACACCACTTCAGTAAGCAGAAAACCGCTCAAAAGTTAAAGCAGCTACATTCCCGTTCCCATATCGCCAGTAAAATTTAGGCCCTTTAGGAGAGAAAATAAGCTCTGCTCTCATTTATGGCAGGATGAGGAAATAAAAATGGAGAAAATTATTTGGATAAAAGTACAACTGAAGATTCTTTTTAACAGCCTTCTAAATGAGACGCTTGTGAGGGGAAAAAAATTAAGAAAGAAAGAAATAGACATAGCTGAGGAACACATTAACTGGGAGTTGAATATGCTCAGTATTTTTGAAAATTAGGTCCTAATAAGTATTCATGATAAACAATCTGTGCAGAATGTAGCTATCAATTAACCAAAGTTAAACCCTTGTTCTGGAAACAGTTACATCTTCTCCAAGGCTTTTTATTTAAAATAGATTTTACTGTTACCATTTTGACACAAGAGAACGGAATTTTTTCCCTGTTACTTCTAGGGAAAACTTGACAAGGCTGTTCCTCTGTACGAACTAGCGGTTGAAATTCGACAGAAGTCATTTGGCCCAAAACACCCTAGCGTAGCAACTGCTTTGGTAAATCTGGCTGTCCTTTATTGTCAGATGGTAAGTTTCTTATGTCTTACATATTTATTATTCCTGTCTTAGGCTTTTTTATGATTTGTACCTAAATGATACCAAAGAATCTTGATCACATTTAAAAGGGAAATTCTTTGTAACACTTGCAAATTCTTAGGTTCCATTTTAAAAATTGAGAGGATATTTGGCAAGGAAAACGTATGCAGGGAACAGGTAATTGCTGTGACTGGTGTTTCACAAGAACGCTTGGGCTAACACTCTTTAGATTATTCAAAATGCCCACATGCCTTATAAGACTAGAGCTAGAGTACAGCATTTGCAGCGATATGGCGGTTATCACAGTATGATGGAACACAGCTCCACCACTGACTCTGAGAGGAACACAATCCTTTGAAATTTATGTCCGCGAACGAAGAGTGCCCACCTTGATCAGCTGCAACTCCGTGTAACTAAAGATCTGAGAAGGCTGTAGACTTTCTGGTCTACAGCTACCATGAGATTCAAAGGAGATGCAATCAACTTACTGAATTCCTTACCTAGCATTAACAGGAGGGAGCTGTAGATTGTTTTCCAGTTTTCTGTATTTCTGCAATCTGCATATCTGATTTTAAACAGGGATTAAAGCTGCCTCAGGTAAAATTAAAGAGCATTTGGTAACTCAGAACTTTCATGACTGAGCTAGGAAGTCCAGACCCTAATTATTACATTATTAGTGGGAATAGCATTTGCAAGTGCAAGCCAGTTGCTCTGACAATCTCAGTTACCATCCTCATCTGTCAACAGTATCAAGAACTCAAAACACCTTTCTGGTTAAATATGCACGACTTTGCATCTAGGATGTGTTGATACTGTGTTGGAAAAAAGAATAGCAAATGTAATATACATCTGTAACAAACAACTTTCTACTACCCAAAGAAAAAGCAGATTGAAGCTTTACCTCTTTATGAACGTGCACTAAAGATTTATGAAGACAGCTTTGGTCACATGCATCCTCGTGTTGGGGAAACTCTGAAAAACTTGGCTGTGCTAAGGTAAGATGATATGCTTTAGCCCTATAAAAGTAAATGACTATAAAAATTACTGGATGAAACAAAACATCCTGGCCTTGTGTACTTATTAGGAAAGTAGAGAGCCTGAAGTACACTTTGATAGCATGGTGTGCATTTCAATTGAAGTGAATTGAGAGACTTGTTTCATTCGCCTGTTTCAACTTTGTTTTACTCTTCTCCAAAGCTACGAAGGGGGAGACTTTGAGAAGGCAGCTGAACTTTACAAGAGAGCTATGGAAATAAAAGAAGCAGAGACTTTGTTGATAGGTGGGAAAGCAACTTCTCGGCACTCCTCAAGTGGCGATACATTCAGCTTAAAAAGTGCATTGTCACCAAACATTTTCCTGGAACATGGACAAAGGTGATACAAACCTGCCTAAAGAAAAGGCAGTCTCTATTGCTGTTTTAAAGCAGACGTAAAATTAAGACAAATCTATCTTTCCTAGAGTAATGTACAATTTTGGGACTGACACCTGTCTTCCTGAATGACAGGGGAACAAACATTTGAGCTTGAAATCCTTCCATGTTAACTTTGCAGACTGTATGGTACAAAGTGAGCTTCTTGCATTGTATATAGGCATGCGTAGTAAATACTAGCTCAACTTATAGCTAATACCAAAAAAGTGGATTTGATACCTCATAGCCCGACTGCCAGGATTAGAACAAGTCAAGTTGAACCAATTGTATATACTCCATGGGGTTGTTCTTATTTCTACGATGTAACAGCCTGGCTTGGAGGATTTATGTATTTTTTTGTTTCATCAATCATTTCTGCCTTTTCAGAAGCTTTTAAAGTTGTTTCTAAAGAGAGAGTAATTTTGAAAAAGTCAAAATACCGTTACACCCAAAGTTTTACCTGCAGGGTGATTTCAGCTTTAAGCAAACTTACATTCAAGGGACTTGTGCAAAAATCTAACTAATAAATATAACTAACTCATTTAGAGACACTCCCCACTTAGTAGTTTCCAGTTCTGAACTGTTACTGTTCTTCCCTTGAGTGACTTCTCTCCAACTTACTCGTGAGTTGCAGGGTTGCTTTTGGAAGAAAAAAAGGCAGCAGATCCCAGCCATCCATGGCCCATTAGCAAAGAGGGTGAGGAACAATACGCTTACCCTGTCAACCCAAAGAAAACTTTCTACAGAAGGTAAAACAGGACCAGGAGTAATAGTGGAGGGGCTTGCAGGCTGCATGTTGGCCGTAAGACCACTAACGGCTATAGCTCCGTAAGCTTAAAGAGAGTTGTTCCTGGGCTTGTAGTTGTACCTCATGGACATTAAAAAAAAAAAAAGTAATTTGCATACCTAGTGTATGCCAAATAATACTTCTGTGTAGGAGAACTCCACCTCAAAACAGTGTCACCAGTTTCAATGGAGATTTCATCACACAGTCAGAATATCAACATCAATAACACTCATGGTACACTGTAAAAACTGAAAGCTTCTTTTATATGGTTGCCAAACACACAGAGCTGGACTAAATGATTGCAAGATGTTTTAATTTCTTAGTTCATGACAAAAGAAGTCATAAATTTTCCACTATGTTTTATAGTTGGAGTAGATTATACTTGTAAATGTCTAAATAATAAAAAAAAAATCCTTCAAGCTGCTTTTTTTTGATGCTGTTTATTTTTAAATAATTTTAAGCATTGGCACATACAGTCATCTTAATGTATTTTCTAATTAGTTCAAATTCTTCTTGTATATACAAGTTGAAAGTCTGGAATTAACATGAGAACTGTTTTGCATACTCTGTAAGTGGGCATACAAAAGTGTATCAGTTTCCTCCATAAAACGGTACATGAAGTAAAATGTTGCTTCTCGTAAAGCTGTCAATCAGGCGATAGCAGTCATGTCAGCCAAATCGGTATGAGTCAAGAAGTGAGCTGCTGAAGAAATGAGTCAACCCTTTGCCTCAGGATCTCCAGAGCCAGGTGTGTGCCTTACTTTTATTGTTCCCCAACAGAAAGGTACAGTCACAAAGAAATGTAAGTAACGCTTAAATTGACACTTGGATCAAGCTAACGTAGACTTAGTGGCACAGATTCAAGTATGTACCTCTTTAATGATCTCATCATTCCACTTCCTATCCCTCTCTACAGTTCATTTCTAAAATCTGGTTTCCCCAAACTGAACCCAACCCAAAAAAACCCCACTTCCATTTTGCAGTATAATGCACAAAACCTCCCTCAGCAGCTTCAGAGATGAGTTTTACATTATTGTATAACCTAGTGTCAGCTGTGGAGGAAACAGATTTTGAAGTTTGTAACTGGTAGTTAACAAATGTTTGATTTCTAAGCAGGTATTCATTCAGCTGCCCTATGAAACAGCAGCACCTCCACAATACTCTCATTTTACGTGATGGTGGGATGCTGCTACTGCCATTACTAGCTGTTTCTGTGTTGGCTGCATCGTGCTGTGGAAAGGCTTTTTAGAACAGCTGAAGTTGGAAATACTTGTATTATACTGCGAAGTTTGAAATTTACGTTCTTCTAAGCCAAATCTAAATAAATAAAGATCGAGTTCTGGATCAGACACCCACAGTAGTATTTGAAATTGGTACTTGCAGTTCTGCAGGGTGCTGGCACTACAGGCTGTGTACACTTACAGGTCAGTTTAACGTGATAATTTAAAAGGTAACACAACTGTACTAACGTTATTTACAAGACAAATACCAATCGCTCAGGTACTCCACTAAAGGTACTTGGAACAATTAAGTTTAGAGCATCTAGTTTTAGAAGCCGCCTTTTGCAAACTCAGATTAAGTATATTCCTTAATATAGCCCATGATGGGGATGGATCAGTGTTATAGCTAAACTTCCAATAACCAACAAAAATATAATATTTAGATTTTCAAAGTAAAAAAAACTTCCTGTTATTTCCAATGGTGCTCATAATTGTTATAGATTTTGTCATGAAAAGCATCTGCCAGCTGAAATAGTGGCACGCTAATCCCCAGCCTGCTAGTATGATTATCGACTAACAAAATACTTCATCTTGTTGCAACGTACTCGAAGCGTTATGACATACAAAACATAAGCAGCTATTTAAGAACAAGCAGTAGTAAAACATTGATAAAACCAGGGAAGTTTGAAAAAAAAATTCCATCCCAGAGGTATTTAAGGCAGACAGAAAGGGCGAACTGTTCTGTTGACTCAGAAAAAGCAGTCACAGCATGATCCATGCCAAGAATTTGCACAGATGGGCGAAAAACAACTGAATACAAGTGCCTTGAAAATCGGGAGCAGCGCGCTGCCCTTGACCTGCTCCCTCCACTCCAGCAGATTTCATCTTTCACTTGTTGTACACTATGTACTGTTCGCATTGTATCACATACAGTGTGCTGTACCTGCTTTTGTTAGTTTACCTATCTCCTTTTATTTTCTACTGAATATCTGGACACTAGGAATGCTGAGAAATTAAAGTTTACAGTAGCACAACCCCATCTGTTAAAGATGGGAATAGACAACAGGATATAAACACCGTAAGTCTGTTTCCTTCCTGCCCCTGTAACAGTTCCATTTCACAGGAAATGTAAAGATAACCTTCAGTAGAGATAAAAAAAAGTCTAGTCTGCTCAAAATCCAATGTCAATCCAAACTCCCAAAAGTTGTACTTAATTCTTGTTTTGCTACATGTTTCTCATTTTGGCCATGAGTTCTTCTAGGCTTTCTTCAGATTCTGCTACCGTTTCCTCAGTTACCAAATTCTCTTCCTATGAGGAACAGGAAGAAAAAGTTGGCAACGAAAACAGCAAACAAAAAACCCTACACAAATCAGCTTTATTGCTGTTACACCACACCGTTTTCCTAGAACCAAGTACTCAATTACAAGATTCGGCCTAAGCAATTATAAGTTTAAATTGTAAACTATTCTGACTAGGAGTTAGAACGTGCTGGCTGCAGCACATACAGGTTCTACGTTCCCCAGGTATACTAACTGGTCTTTGACTATGTACAGCTTTTACAAGATAAATACGATAAAAATTAATTAGTTACTGAAATATCAAATGAGAAATTCACTTTTTTTTCCTTCCCCCAGCCCCCAAATACATTCGTTCCTATCACCTCAAAACTACATTCCCACTCACATCCATACTTCTACATACTATGACATGTATTTCAGAGAAACACAAAACTGGACCCCCAAAGGCACTAATCGGATGTGCTGAGGTACAGTTTCACTGGAATTGTTCAAAATGGAATTTTATTTTGGGTTTAAAGGGTAACCAAACTGGCTGGTATTGTAACTGTAATCTACAACATGTATTTCAAAAATCCGTAAAGAATCAATATATTACCTTGTTTGGGATAGTATATGCTACAGTAATTCCCTCAGGAAGCTCAGGTACTGGGCCAGATGCAGCCTTCAGCTCCTCTTCTGAAATTTCTGATACTAATTCGATGCCTTTGCATTAAAAGAAATTGAGAACTCCATTAGAAGTTAGAAGAAAAAGTTCTTTAATCGCTATCTTATCACAGTAAGAGGGAAATGGCAGCTACTTTTCTGAAACAGAAAAAATTTAAAAGCAGAAAGACCTTCGATTTCAACTTCATTCCATTATCAATACAAAACATTTTCCCCTTTACAGTGTACGAAATTGTTCTATACAGGTAACTTATGGACAAGAATGACATCTCTCCTATAGGACTTCCTTGTCCTTTACCATTTAAATCTTACCGTGAGGACCCTTCTCCCAGTGGGAGGCTAAGATTACTTTCTAGATTATGTAATAAACAGAACGTATATATCAATTCTCAAAATGGTTACATAAACTCATTACACTTACCGTTCCATAAGACAATTCCTTCTAATTTAAAGCCCTCAGAGGAATATAAAAATCCATGGGATGCCTCAGCACAGTGGTTATGGAAATGACAAATGCTCTTTAGTTACGTATTTAAAAGGAACACACAGCAAATACATCTTACATCTTTCGTATCTTCACACCATCTTCTGAGAAAGTTTTCTATTCAAATGCTGTTACTTTCTGAGCCTAAAACCTGCACGTTACACTAAAAATACATCAAGTTGTGGTAATAGTGCTGTGAAAACCTGTGAAAAGCCAGCAGTAATTACGCAGTATAAGTTACAAAAAATAGAAACCATAAGCAGCCTGTGTACCCTACAGTGTGTTCACCCAAAACAAACACTTTAAACTTGAATCTTAGTACTGGGAGCATCATTTAGTCTCCAGTTGATTACTTACCCCAGTCATTGTCTTCGTGTACTATTTCTTCTTCCTGTTCAATTACTGCTTGTTTTGGTTGTGCAGCTTCTTTTTTCTGAAGGAAAACCACAAAAATATAAAACCACCATAATAGATGTAATAGTCCAATTTTCAACAACAGCAAAGAAGATCAAATCTAATATTCACAATTCTTTTAATCTTCGAGATACGCAGTTGCCATTTAGAACTTTGTTAGGCATAAAAAGGCAGAATACCTGCAAGTTAAAAAACCCAAACCCATTAATGCCTAAAAATACATGACTGCCAGAAAGCTTGAGAGATTACTGTAGGAGAAAATATTACCTAACTGGATGGAAGCCATTCTGCCAACCCTTTGCCTTAAGATAACTCTAAGTATTGTATTTTTAGAAATGCAACCATCTGAAGACAAGGCTGCTGAAAATTGGAGTAGCAATGAAAGTTTTGTTTTACTACAGAT